AAGAGCCTGCAGCTGCTTCAGGACTTGCTAACAAGCTTTCAAGAAGACTCGAGACCCCACTACTATGTGTCCTCCTGTGTCAGCGTCCCTCAACTCACATTTTATCCCCATGTACTTTCAGGGCTCCTAATCTGTCAACCACTAGCCTAGAAAGCAGTTCAAGGCCTGATGGGAAGGTAGACATAAAAAGGATTGCCAGCAGCATGATGCATTCTTGCCATTTGCAGTGTTCAGTTTCAGGTTCCTCAAAAAGAGTTACCATATGACCCAGAAATTTGACTCCTAGATCTGTACCCAAGAGAGCCAAAAACATGTCCACACAAAAAGTTGAATAAGAGTGTTATAGCAGCATTACCCATAGTAGCCAAAAAATGGACACAACTCCAATGTCCATCTGCTGGTGAGCGGATAAACAAAATGTGACACAAAAAGGAATAAAGTACAAATGCATGCTACAGCATGCATGGGCCTGGCTAAGTGAAAGAAGTAAGGCACAAAAGGCTGCATGCCCTGTAATATATTTGCAATACCCAGGCCAGATATATCCACAGAGACAGAAAGTAGATTAGTGAGTGACAGGGGCTGGGGAGGCGGGAATGAAGCATGACATCTAATGTGAGTGGGATCTCTCTTTTTACAGTGATGAAAACATTCTGGAATTAGGTAGTGGTGATGCTTTCACAACCTTGCAAATGTACTAAATGCCATTGGATTGTACACCCTAGAAGGGTGAATGTCCTGGTATGGGAATGCCATCTCAATTACAATGAAATATATACTGGGAGTTAGAGAATCCAAAAATGTAAAAGGACCAAGCTCTTTGAGAGCAACATGTTCAGGAGAAGCCTCCTAGGAAAGTAAAGTTTGGGGTGGGCCCAAAAGAAATGAGAGGCAGGGTCAGCAGGCACCCATAGCAGAAGGAACTGGCACCAGGTCTTGGGCAGCAACGCAGAGTCTTGTGTGGGGATGAGCTGCTCGCCTGAAACAGGGGTTGATGGCAGAGAGGCACGGTGGTTGAGGAGCAGAGGTAGGAAAGGGTAGGAGGTGGTCTGTGGTCCTCCCTAGTGAGCTCAGGAGCTGGATGGAATGTACTTCTCCAGCAGGATCTTTGCAGAAAGGTTGCAGGCACTAGTGGTGCATACTAAGTGCCACTGTACGAAGATGCGTCTCACTGCAGCCTGGAATGAATTAAGGAGGGAAGGAATCACAGCAAAGTCTGGGAGCACTGCTTGGATATGCATTCCCATGCTGGAGGCTACAGGGAACAGGAGAAAAATGAGCAGACCTTTCCTCCAGCCCTGAAGGGAAAGGAGGAAGTCTTGCATTTCTTTAGCAATTCACAGTTGGACATAGCCTTCATTTTTTTTTTATTAGCTCATTCATCTTTGAGATAATTCTTGACATTGGCAGAACAGTTATCACTAGCTCCTTTTACCGAGAGAAAAACTGAGGCTCAGAGTTCACTCACTTGCCCGGAGCTGCTCCTAAGTGTGGTTAATAGAAACCCTAAGCCGGACCCCACAGTTCATCCTAGGCTGACCTGTAGTCTTGCAGGGGAAGCAAAGCCTAGCACAGAAAGTAATAAATAAAACCCCAAAACTATAACACAGTGCAAATATATGATAGCCAAAGACAGACCTTAAATTATTATCAACAAACACATTAATTCGTGCCGGGTTGCACTCTGTCGACCACTTCAGGTGTTTGAATGCATTTTCTTTGGATCTTGCAAGTGCTGAGCTTTCTATTGCTGAGCAAAAGATCAAAGAGGTAGAAGTTTTGAACCTGGTTATTAGAATAAGACCTGGCTCACGCTCCACCTCTGCCACTTGCCAAATGAACTTGGACTCCAGTGCTCCAAGCTGTGGCCTATTACGTGACGGTCACACACCCTGCTCTCCAGGACAGACGCTGTGTAATTTTGCGATAACATATATAAAGCACACAAAGCATGCCATGCCTGCTCTGGTGGTGTTCGATAAGCAAAGGGGAGTTTTTAAAAGGTTTACAAGAGAGAACTGGCATTTACTGGGCACAAACGATACCGCAGTACCTTCGTCTACCCTTAATCTTCACAACAAGGTAGGTTTTACTAGTCCCATTTCATAGATGAGCGAACTGTTTGAGGCTGGAGGAAATTCGCTGGCCCAAGGTCACACGGCCAAGATGTGGGGCAGCCATGACTCAGGCTTGGCTCTGGCTCTGAGGTCGTTACTTTTGTACCCTGCTGCACAATTGGTGACAACTTGAGAACTGGATGTCAAAGGACTCTCATCAGGGCATGTTGAGTACTACAGACTCAAACAATGACGTGTGTCAGAGCTCCCGAGGAACGAGTTAGAAGCGCCACTCTGCTTGCAGGACTTTGGTCTGGGTTCAGATTTGCATGGCCCCAAGTATAAACTATTAGGTCTCCAGGCCTTTCCTCCTTCCTTATCTCTCTCTTCCTACTGCTTTGAAGGATTTTCAGATCAAAGATGCAGCCACTCTCCTGGGGAATAATCCTGTTGCCCATAACCTTGTTTTCCGAGTGTCCTTCACAAAGAAGAGCTTCAGCCAAAAATTTCTCCCTCAGCGTAATCACACAATTTTTCTTGGCCTTCGCCAGCCCTCAGGACAGAAAGGTAGATGACTGCCTTCAGAAGCATTTTTATGCCGAGGAGCTGCCCAGAATAAATTAGCCAGACCTCAGAAAGTGTTAGATACGCTACCTCCGCATCTTCATTTTATTTTCTGCTAGGGTCCTTATCCTTCTGAAACACCACCTCCCCTTTTCCTTGCTGAGCGTTGGCACGTTTTTACATTTGCTCACTCCTGGGGGCAGGGGAAGGCACAACTCTGCACCAAGGAAATTTTCTTCCTCCAGGTAAGGATTTGTAAGATTCTAAGACTGAGACATGATCAGCAAGTGGAGAACTGAGCCAAAAATACTCCCAATCACCCCAGAGAAGCAAAAGCCCAGAGGATCCAGGATTAAAGATAATAAGACAGCACCTAAGAGATGGTGGCAGAAATAACCAGTGAGCATTGGTGACGGAGAGCTGTGCCAGGGGGCCCTGGATCTCTGTGAAATGTGGCTTGCAGCAGAAACCCTCATGGTTGATATAATTTTTAGAGACCCCTGGACGACTCCCTGAGACCCCTTCTCTCAGGGAATGCTCTGTTTGTCCTTGGAACATCCCAGGCCTCCTACTTCTTCCCTATTATTTCCAGGGACTTCAGAGGAGCCACTGATTGTCAAAGGGAAGACATACCTGAAATTGAACCATTTTTAGGTTCTTTAAAGGCATGTGGCCCCTACCTTGACCTTGCTCTTTTGCCAGTCTTCTTTCCTCACAGAGAGAGACTGCAAGTAATATGAAGGGATATTGTATTTCTTTCTCCCCCTGCGATAATCTGGCCTAAAGAAAAACCACTTTCCTCAGCTGGAAGTTTGCAAAGGTAGAAGGACCCCTTTTCAAAATGGAGAGTAATCTGAAAATGTTCTTCTGTCCTGGTACTGGGTTTCTTAACGTCTGAATCTAAAGAATCATCTTTCCCAGTGCCTCCCACCCTGTGTCCCTAACACACACACACACACACACACACACACACACACCCCTGTTAGGTCCCCCAGCAACTCAAACTTCATCAGATTCTTTACCCCCCACTGTCCTAATGAATCAAAAACTCTGGGGCTGGGGCCCCACAATTCCCTAATCCCTTGGAGAACTTATCAATTCATGAATTCCTGGCCTCCACACTCAGAGATTTTGATTCGGTAACTCTGCAGTGGGACCCAAGATTTTACATTTACATCAAACTCTGAGATGGTGCTGCTGCTGCTGGTCCAGTAAGTAGCTCTGGTGTACACAGCTTCCCACCTGCCTCCAGGGCACAGATTTCTTCCATATGTTAAGTGGCAAATTGTGTGCAAAGATCACGGATGGACAGACAGATGGGAAAGAGGGGAATGTGTAGACTAATAGAAGAAAAAGCGAGAAAAGAAGTTCTGGCATGGGAAGCCATGCCTGGAAAAGAGACCTGTTCATCCTCAGCACACTTTATCAAAGCTTTTCTTTCTGGTGATTTCCATTTCCCTGTATCTGGTCTGTATTACTTTCCTACTGATTCAGATCTACACTAATGGCTCCTCAAGGGCTTTCTAAAAATGATGGTACAAGACCTAGCCCAACAAAAAGGATTAAGAGAACACAACCCTAGGATCCACGGTCAGACCCCAGGTGCAACAGGACACGGGGGCAGGGACACCCTGCCTCTGAAAAGTCTGGCATGGTTTTGTGCCTCCCTCCATGCTTCACATTGGTCCTGTCCACAGAGCATGTGGTCTCCACTTCTCAGATTTCACCAGAATCCTCTAGTAAATGTAGATCACTAGCCTCATCCCTGGAATCCCTGATTCAGTAGATTGGGCATGGGGTCTGGCCTGAGCACCTGCATTTTTATTAAGTCCCAGCGATGTGGATGCTGCTTGCCGAGGGACCCCAGTCCAGAACCACTGGTATGCACAGCCAAAATAATACCAGAAGTCATTTAGTCATTTTCACCAGCAGCCACAAGAACAGATCTGGGGGGGTACGTTGCTTCCCGCTGGGTGGGGATAAGTAGGGAAGCATCAGAACCTCACTGTGTCAGCAAGAGCTATCTCAGAAATGGGAGCCCGATGTTCTGCAGGAAGGGACACAGTGATGCCTGGATGATGCCTTTTGTGAAACCCTGAAATGTTCCATATTTCTCACTCAGAAAGTCACTGTAAGTCTACTGGGCCTGGAAGTTTGTACCTTCCTCTGAACATCCCATCTCTCATGGTTTTTGTTATAGAAGCTTTACTGTTTCGAACCATTTCCAGAAGAGGTGCTGTCCGGCCTCTGAGAATGGTCCCAGAGATGCTTGTCCATGTGACCGCTCTTTGGCCTATGAACTGGGCTGGTGGAGGAGGAGATCAGCCCGTCTCACTGTGTCATTTCTCTCTTCTTCCTCACCCCCTCCCCCAACCCCAGTGCATTCCCAGAAACAGAACAGACAGACCTGCGTCCGCAAGAGCCTCATCTGCGCCTTCGCCATGGCCTTCATCATTAGCGTCATGCTGATCGCGGCCAACCAGATCCTTCGGAGTGGCATGGAGTAGCAGCCTCCCCCCACCGCACTGCGTCCCGGCTCACCGCGCATGTGCATGCCCTGCGGGCAGACTCTGTTCCTCCACGAAAGCGGGTATGGATGATGCAGACATGGCACAGTTCAGTGAAGCGCCCAAGGCTGCAGGGCAACAGGTGTTGCGAATCCACTTCATCTCCTTGGCAGGGACACAAAAGGGCTGTCTTAAATGCTTTAATGGTTTTGTTTCCTAATGCAATAAAATAGCCAGGAGTTCCCAGTGACTGCGTCATTCACCCCTAGGGAACTCTGAAGAGAGACTTCATTTTCATCTTGGAATATTCCAGTTCGCCATCCAGGTTGGTGGTGTCAGAGAGCAAGAGAGAGCCATCGACATGCAGTCATCTCCATGCCCCATTCTGTCAACCCAGGGGTCAGCTGAAGACTCCCCGCTGAGGAAACCCTCAGTTCCAAGAAGCTGACTTCTGGGTTGCCATTGAAGAGGGGGCTTTCCATCCCATCCCACCCTGGCTTCCTTCCTCCACCCAGTGGAGCACCCCCCCCCAAGGCTTGAGGGGAAAGCCATCGAACGGGGTGCAGTGCCTGGCAGTCTGCAGGTTGCACCCCTTGCTTCCGTTCTTACTGCCTTTTCTACAGGACTCTGGGCAGAGTTGGGGAGCTCTCAGTTTCCGTCGGCACTTGGCTTTCTGTTCCTAGAGCACATCGCGCACCAGCATTTTGGAATCTGCAGAGAGCCTTTCTCCCAGCTTTGCCACCTGTGCTGCCATTAGTGGAGAAAAAAAAAAAGAGAAGCATAATCGTGGGCATCTCTATAACCTAGACAGTAGACAGACGTAGACATTGGGCTTCTTCATGTGTGATGTCATTCTTTCCTAACCGCTTACTCCTGATAGAAGCTTGTCCTCTAACATGCATCCCTGCCTCTCTGGGGTGGGCCAGGTAGTTTTGGGGGGTGGGTGCCGGAAGGCACTGAGACCAGTGGGGAGGGGGTGTTGCAGCCCACACCCCAGCTGCAAGGAGTCCTGGAACCTGAACCCACCTCCATGCCCGAAGACCCCTGTAATTCAGGTCCTTGAGCATCCTACCTTCTTCTCATCTTAAAATTTGCTTTGTTAGTCTTCCCCAGATGAAAAGAGAAGTACCACCCAGAGTGGAAAGATGGAAAGATCAAACTATTGTATTTTACATAACCTCTTCCAGCACCCAGATTCTACAACTGACTCATATTCATGAGGAAACAAAATATGCGAATCAGCTTAGCCAACACAACAGGTGACTCGCTCCTGCCTGCAGAATACCTGTGCTGGGGAAGGGGCTGGAGTCCGGGGGTCCGTGTTCAACGCCATTTCAAGTCTGTAATTTCCCGACTTCTCCCAATTGCCGTATCGGCCACCACTGTTGATTCAAGCTTGCATAGTCTGATTCGCGATAATGTTTCGATGTGATGTTTTCCTTTGTACTTCTCAAACTCGGGTCTTTATTTCTGTAGTAGGATTGTTCTGCCCCTCTTTCTCCCCATTGCATCCTGAAGCTACATGCTCCCTCTCCCCCTTTCTTCCACTATTGAGATGCCACAATCTTTCTTCTCTAGGTTTTGCAGTGAGGACAGGTATGTGTCCCCTCCCTGTGCCCCAGAGTCCCTCCCGCTGAGTTTTGTCCCTTCCTGCCTTCTCTGACTTGGCCTTTTAGGGTCTTTTTCCCCCTCACCGCTGCAAGCACTTCAGGCAACAGCCAGGGGGCAGCTGTAGAAACTTCCTCACTGTGGGAGACTGCAAATATTCATGATGAGCACAAGTAGAACTAGGGTTTGAGCCATATTACAGAGGATGGAGCAGGTGTGAGCTCCCAGGAGCCTGGGGGTTGAGGGTCCCGCTGGGGAAATGCCTGGAGTTCCGTACATCCAGGCCAAGGAAGGCAGCAGCCTGCCTGTCCCTCTCACCCACCCTGCCCTGCACATCTGCCTCTTCTCTCTCTCCCCCTGCCCAACTCACCATGGTCCTCAGGATTGGTTTCCAGAACCAGGACAGGTCCAAACACAGAGCACTAACACTTCAAACAACTTCGTCATTAGTTTTTGCCCAAAGCAGCTTACCTTCCCTCCCCCTCAACCGGACTTGGACAAGAAGGACCGCCTGAGTCACTAGACCATGTCCTCCGGGGGGGGGGGGGGGCGTGTACAAAGCGGATTGAATAGAGACCCCAGGGGATGATTCCTAAAGGAGCCTGCCCCATGAGAGGGGATTGCGATGCTTCTTCAAAGCTGGCTCTGCAAGTTCTTCCACTTCTCACCGGAGAGCAGAGAACAGGGTCCCCAAACGATATGAGGCTTAGAAGAGATTGTAGCCATGAGGCAGAGGCAAGGGTTAAGCGGAGCCCTGGAGAAACAGCAGCAGCCTGCTCAAGTCCTCAGTGTCGTCTCCCTAAAAAGGACCCATCGCCTCTCCCAGTGACCAGCAAGCAAGGCTGTCTCACCCAGGAGGGACTCGAGGAGCATGTAAGGACGGGAGGACCCATCGCCTCTCCCGGTGACCAGCAAGCAAGGCTGTCTCACCCAGGAGGGACTCGAGGAGCGTGTAAGGAGGGAAGGAAACAGAAGCTACAGAACTCTCCTGGGCGGCCTAGAGCTGACCTCCCACGTGGTGGCCTCACACACGGCACCCAGGGCCGGAGGTGCGGGGAGACAGCCCAGAGCGAATTGCATTCCTGAGACCTTGGGAGCCAGGAGCTTGTCACTGGGATATGACCCCTGGCTGCCTCGCCTGGACGGTGTGTCAGAGGTGTTGGGGTTCCTTGTATGGCCTACGATGTTGACTTTCCGCAGCCCCACCCTGGGTCCCGTCCACATCAGAGCTACTGCGGGGCCCTCGCCATGGCACTTGTGATGCTCATGGGTAGCGCGTGGCTCCTTCTTGCTGTAAGAACGGGTGTCCCAGGCCACACAGTGGTGATCGGGGAGGCATTTGGCTTGGGGGACAAGGAACCTAGACCCTGATCCCGTTGGCTTTACAGAAAGCTGTCTCCTATCACTCCAGAAGCAGACAGGGCCCCCAGACAGGACCTAGCACGGGAACTATTAGAAGTGGCTTCCAGAATGTGCATGGGTCCCACGTGACCGATCTGTAGAAAAAGGGGGGATGGTGTTGCCATGGCAACGCTTGCATTCCACCCTGGGTTTGCCCAGGCACACAAAAATAGGGAACATTTTCTTAAAGAACACTTGGGCTCTGCTTGATTGCAACCCAATTCCCTGCACCCACATCCCACTGGTGGAGTAAATTACACTCAAGAAATCTGGCGGTTTCTCCGCCTTTTCTTGTGTTTTGGAACCACCCTTCCATTTGCTCTGGGAACAGGAGCTACCTGAGTGCCGGGTGGTTTCCTCCCCACTCCTCTGCCCCCTCCCCCCCACTTCCCAGGGTCCAGAGCGAGGACCCCTTCATCTGGGCAAAAAGGCAGAAATGTCATTTGGAAGGCAAAAAGTATTTTAGGCTTCAGTCTTTAAAAGCATCTGTTTGCCTGTTGAGACGCTCTCCCACAGCCAGAAATGTGAACTGAGGTGAACTGAGGTTTACATGTGGTCTTAGGCAAGCCCAGAGGCTTCAGAACTTTCTAGGTGTTTTATTTGCAGAGAACAAGATGTGTACCACGAGATGTGTTCTTTCTCGATAGCTGTTCCTGTCTCAAATTTCACATGACAAATGGTCTGTCTCGTGGTTAGCCAAAGAACCTAGTGAAAGATGGCAAGCTCATGTTGACAGGAGTGCCCCTCCTATCCTCCCATCTACACAATCACAGAGTGATATATCTAAGAACGCAAAAGAGAAATTTCTCTTTTATTCCAAATGCCTTCTCTAGGCTTAAGTCCAGACTCAGGTTATAAATCAAAGAGAGTTTTGCTCTTAACTCATAGCTGGCAGCCTCCCTGGGACCATGACAAGAAGGGGAAGGGTGTGACGCCAAGCACAGGTCCTTGGGTTGGCTGGCCTGGCCACGTGTGGCTGCATGTCACGAAACCCCGTTCCATGATGCCATTCCCCTCCATCCCCGCGGAAGCTACTGAGCTCTGCTCTCCCAGCTGGAGGTCCCCAACCCTACTGGATCATTTTACTGCACTATTTCTCCAAAAGCCCATAGCTATAGTATTCCTCACCCTGCTCCACGGAGATGTAGGGAGATCTGGAACCCCGCTGCAAAGAGGGCCCTGTTGTTCTATCGCGCCATGATGACATGGGCCGAGCCTAGGCTTCCAGACTCTGGCACATACTGCTTGTATTCCCAGAATGACTGACTGGAGAACAGCTGTCTGCAGTGACCTGAAATCAGAACCTTGCCGTTGGCCTCTTCAGTGATCCTCACAGGGCTACGCGTCCATGACCTAAAGGCCTGGCCATAGCCATCTTTCTTCACCACCTCATTACTCAACTGTCCCAGAGGGGGGTGGGGAATCCATCAGAAATAGAAGAGTACATTATTCAACAGCTGGGGTTTTCAACTTGAGTTATTTAAAGCGATGGTGAAGTAGAGGAGGATTCCGGCTGCCCCCTATAAACCTTGTCTCCATGACAATATAAACGTCAGAACTGTTCAGCTTCACTTCATACTTCCTTTGACTAAGTCACTCAGGGGACTGTCCTCGGTTATGTGGCCTTGCCAGAGACGTTTGGTTTGGGGAGGAATAAGGTCAAATGCACAAACCAGCCAAACATTTCTTAGTATCCTGTGCTCGCTGCTAATGCGCATGGCCATAGCGCATGGCTATGGTTTCTACTTTATATTGGTTTGGGACCCTCTTAAATGGTCTCAAAGGGCATGATAACAAAACTCGGAAAGTCTTCATGGCAGAATCAATTTGATTTCATTGGCTTGAAATAATAGCCACAAAGAATCAAGTTTCGCCAGCCCCACAAAAGACAGTGCTCTGAAACTGGAAATGATTAGCCCAGCCTTCTGGCCCCTGCCCTGACCTTGGGTAGCTTATGGGTTGAACACGCATGCTGGGCATGGCCCTCATCCTCCTCTTTTCCTTGAACTTGATGGGCTGGCTTTCAAAACAGTGCTTCTCACTTGGACGTTATCGTCCAAGTGAAAGGGATGCAGAGGCTGGAGTCTTCCAGGGGAGTAGAAGAGCAGGTTAATTAGGAAGGAATATTCCAGGGAATGAAAAATTCAAGTGTGCTGTTGCTCCATCCCTGGACCTGTGAGAGAAAAAGAAAAAATGTGAAGGGCTGCCTGGACTGGTCTCTGGACATTTCCTGTGTGTGTCTGTGTGTCTGGCCTACCCTGGTGACATACCAGGGACAGAGTGCCACGGGGCTGCTGCCCATAAACCTGATCCCAGTGACACACACGGCAAACATCAAGGGGAGGCTGGTAGCTCACCTTCCCTTGGGAGATGCTGACATCTGCCAAGCTCAAAGTGCCTCTCCCGGGGCTTTCTGCCTGTTGAGCTGAGGCCAGGAGAGCAGAGTTTAGAGCCAGAAGTATGGGAGTGCGGTCACGTGCAGGGCCCCACGTACTTCTGCCACCCACCAGCCTGGTAATTTTGAGT